AATTATAATGTTTATTTAAAAGAGATAATTCTTTTATTATGTAATGTTTATATACGTGGTTTCGAAATAAGGAAGTTCATAAATTGAATTCAAACATTTAACACACGAAACATATATATACATGTACATATACTATTTATCATGCTGTTGTTTTCCAAATTAATTTTTCTTAATTTATATGAAATTTCTAAGAAAAAATGGAAACAAATTTTATTAATATCTATAAAATTTAACGTTATAATCAAATATGCAATATCGTTGATAAATAATTTAGAAAGGATGATCATAATCAGTATCAGAAAAATATTTCTTCAGAGTTTCCTGCACGCGGATGAAAGAACCAGTTTCTCTTTTTTCTTTTTCATTCATGCGTGTGCCATTCGGCTCATATTGTCGAAGCATTTATTTTGACAGCATTGTGTCAGCCAAACCATCGTATTTCCTGTTGCGTGCAGGAATAGAAAATACAACCCTGTATTTAGGCACGTGCGACCCCCTATCAAGAATTTCTCTGCTTTGTGCGTAAACTTAGTGAGCGGAATTTCACGTACTTCAAACGTATAATAAACATCGAATCATTTGTTTTTATATTCAATGTGTTCAAAGAATGCACGTATAAAATACAATATGCCACGCAAGAGTAATATTGTATAGTTTGCACTGTTATGTATATATTTCAATCGGTTTCATGTTATTTTTGTAAATTAATTTTAAAATTTGTTATAATTATTTGTTATTATGAAGGTATAGAAAAAATAATGAAATTCTTTTATCAAACATTTTCTCCTTGAATTATACTTTCTTACTTGTATACTTTTCACATCTTCTACTTTCAAATTATTTTAAACGTCGAGGTATTAAAAATTCATAATGTATTATAACTTTTCACTATTAGAATTTGTATAAATAATATACGTATTATTTAAAAGTATATGTAATTTTAATATTCAGTTATTTATACTATAATATATTTTTTATTTTATTTTATTTTATGACTATTAAGCAAACTACTGATAATTTCTAATAATAATAATTTATAATTATAATTTCGTATCATCGATATATGTATACGAATCATTAATTTAAATTTAAATCATACTAATAATTATTATACTTCGTCATTTCTTTATAAGATATTTTTTATTCGTACTTAATTTAATCATAAAAGTCATTCGCTTTGGTGTAAGGTAAAATATGATGATAAGAGCGGGTTGTCGAAAGTAGCCGAACGTCTTTGGCTGTAGCCAATGAGAAACGCGTGAGTGGCGGCCATCTTGCGCGGTAGACCGTTCGAGTTGGTAGTCGCGTGGTGGCGAGCAATCGTCGATTGTTTCGCAGTATGAGCCGTAGTGCCGAACCGAGTTGAAGTGAGTTCTTGCGCTCTTCGACGTTTATTTTGTTACTGTTTTCTCGCCTTACTTGTTGTTGACAACGTATATTTTCTTGACAAATATACATTTTTATTTTCCTGCGAAGAAATATTTAAAATCATGAGAAGTGTATTAGACAAATAAAAAAAAGAAAGACGATCGGACTACATTTGTATTTGTGAATACACAAGAGTGATTTTTTTAATAAGTGACAATGACAGTAATTTCTTCATTATTTTTATTACATACGTAAACATGCATCGTATATAAATATTCTATATGCACGCGTGTATCAACGTGTGTTCGTGTGTGTGTGTTGAGTTAAATCAAAAACTGTATTACATTTTAACACGTTTAAAAACATCAGACAAAGTTAGTGTATTTTTTAATTATTATTTTTTGTGTACCGCGTTGATAATGAAATTATATTCTCTACTTTGAGACTGGTCAACGTTCGTTGCGTGCCTTTTAATTGTGCTCTCTAGCGTAGATGCGATATCAGAATCATTCCTGTGATTACCGGAAACACAAGACATCGTTCGTTCACCGTATTCTGCAAGGCTAACAACGTTTTACTGTTCGACAAAAGGTAATTATTTTTTCTTTTTTATTTCTAATATCTATTTTTAAGGCATATACGGCGTTATCGTTATCGTATGATATGTGCCACCTTTCTGTTTATCCTTGGCGCAAAATGCAAATGGCGGTGTTGCGCAGGGAGGATGATCGGTGGGGGAAAGACTCGTAGAAGGACGATATAAGTTTTTTCGTTTAGTAAAAAATATGGGAAAAGATTCATTTGTTTTTATATTATTTATATAGACTTATTTCTTTTTATACATGCTTATATTCATTACAATATTATAGATTTATTATTTTATATGGAATATTTATTATACATAAATAATACATTATAGAAATAAAATTTATAATAATAGTAATATTATTTTATATTAAACAAGTATAATAATAATAATATATATATATATATTATTTTATAATTATTAATATTCTATATGTATTATATGCATATCTATACAATTTCTAAGTTTGCTAACGATAAGAAATATTCACATGAACTGTGCTTGTTGGATTCGTATGTTCGTTCGTTCGTTCGTGTGTATCTACAGAGGCGCCAAGAATTGTTTACATTACGGTCACGTATCCGTTCGTATCCGAGCGTCGAGAGTTTAATGCTAAAACCCAAGTCGTTTTCGTTTTCGTGTGTTTTTCGTCGAAAAGATCGGTATAAAACGTAACTGTAATAAGATTTAGGCTTGTGTCATTGTCTACTAGAGTTGTCCCTGAATATACATCCTTTTACAATTAGAGTCTTTACAAATCATGCCTCTTTATATATAGTACTGATTTATTTTAATAGTAATTCAAATAGCAGAATGTATTTTTAGAATACTCGAAGTGAATTAATTTATCAATTGGATATCATTAATAAGTAAGGGTAAAAATATCGGTCCTATATCTCGTGATAATTAATTGCCGTATCTATTGTTGTCCTTGAAAGCAAAGATATACTCTTATTTCGTTATCGAATGTATCAAGTAGA